TTACCATTAACAAAATCTAGAGAATAATGGATTTAGCCATAATCATTTTGTATGTACTATTATATATATACATATATATTTACTATTGAGTTTAAGGTAATGCTGAATAATTCTTTATCAATACTACTCCTTTGAACTAAGTTCAGAGCTACAGAATGCTTCTCAAACAATTCTTTACCAACCATTCTTTGTGTTTCCACCCAAAATCTAGAGAAAAAGTAAAGAATAATAAATATAAAAAAGGGGTTGTTAGTTACTTCTCCTCTTCCTTACCTTTGAATTGACCAGTAATTTATGTATGAGGACAACATGTCATGTATAGGTAAGGGATTAGAGATAAATAACTTGAAATACCTGCTAGGTGTACATTATGGATAAAATAGACACATAATCAAATTGGAGGAAATGAAAGAAACCTGTGTCGATCTATAGGGAATTTAATTCTACTTGTCCATGTGTCTGTTTGAACCACTTTCCTCCACAGACTATACTTCCAGAACACTTCTCCTGTGGCCTCGATTCCAAAACTAAAGGAACACATTTGGAGAATTGTGTATACAGTGCTGGAAGGGAAGTTACTAGTTCCTTGTTTTCCCATTGATTCTAACTCCATTTTGTCCCTACCTATCTAAATCATTAGATTGAGTGAAGCTAATGTAACCTGGCCATCAGCGAGCAGCAAATTGGGCCTGAGATTAATTCCTTACCTTCATTTTCTCTTATTTCCTTTAGTCTCTCTTTATCTTTATCATCTTTCCCCATCCCCCTACCTATACCATTATCTCTATTTCATTTTAAAACACCCAGTGTCATGAAAATAAATGAGACACTTAATGAGTGAAAGAATATAATATTAAGGAATGAGAGAATATTAAAAACTGCTTCAAAATCCATATCTTTTAAAGCAACTGTTCCACACTAAGGATATGAAAACTTTATGAATTTGAATGCATAACTGCACACAATCATTAAATAATAACCCAAGCTGATATTCTCCCATTTTGATGATTTAACCTACATAAAAACCTTTTTTTTTTTTTTTTTTTTTTTTCCTGAAATGAGACCTAATATTACACAGGCAGCCTCTAGAACCTCGGGTGAACGGTGTTTCTAACCATAGACTATTTCAAAATGAATAAATAATGGCATCTAATATATTCATTTTGGATGTAAAAAAGTTCAGGTGCTTAGAATGCAAGTAGAAGGAATGATTTTTTAAAACACAGGCATTTTGGGAAATAAGGAATCTGACAGTTGAGAGTTTTATTAGTGATGATTCAGAAACTTTTGAGAGTTGAAGAAACAAGTAGTTTTATAAATAGAATCTTTTTAGGAAAAAATGCTCTCTCCAGCTAGTACCATAAAAATCAGGATATTGTAATGTCTACATACTCATTCAACTTGTTTCATTTTACCTGAAAAGACATCATTTCATATTTTGGAGAATGATAAGCAAAATGTTCTATTAACAATAACCATCTGTAATAAAGTTTCCTGAATGAATGTCATAGTAATAATATTTCCATTCCAAATAAATATTATCTTAACTGCAAAAGAACCTCATTTCTAGTCTCATTACTGAACATTAGCTGTAGGGAAAGAAATAATGAAGTATACTACTGAGAGTCTCTGACATGAGGCTTTAAAAAAATTAAATGGTAAATCCAAAACTGCAAATATTGCAGGAAAGTAGTTCACGTGAACATTTTAATAATTAGTGCACCATTTCAACGATAAATACCAGTAAAAAACAAAACCAAAAAAGCAAAACCGAACCTGAAACAACCATTCTACAGGCCACATGGCTTGCAGCTTTTCTGCACACGTGTGTGTAAACAGTACAGTACTGTGCTAGCTGAGAATTTAACATAATGTGTTAGTTAGCTTTTATACAACGTTTAAAACGGTACATCATTATTTCCACCAAAATTTACTTGCACTCTCTCTGGTATTGAAAGGGAGGGGAAAGGCCATTTGCAGAAAGAGGAGGAGTTGAGCAGTCCCAAGGTGGAGCTGTCTCTTGTGTTAAATGACACTGGCAGGGTAAAGCGCTCTGCTGGGGAAGGGCTTAAAGGCTGAGTCAAAAGCCAAGAAGTCTCTTTATTTACGCCTACCTCCCAGCCTTTGGCAATCTGACTAATAACAAACTGAGCTAACAAGAAAGACTAGAAAGGGAGGAAAGAGAACACTGCTGCAGCTTGGATCTACAACCTAAGAAAGCAAGAGTGATCAATCCCAGCTCTGTGAAACATCTTGTTTATTTCCTGTGTTCAGCAGCTTGCAAATGGTTAACTATATGCAAAAAAGTCAGCATAGCTGTGAAGTATGCCGTGAATTTTAATTGGGGAAAAAAGGCAACTGCTTCAGGATGATCTAGCATGCACTCTGCCTGAAATATTTTCAATGAAATGCTCAGCATTTGGTCTTTGAGCAGAGGTTTTTAACTTTATGAAGCAATGGGACCTGCCAAAAAGTGAAATTTGAGAAGAAAGTACGTGGTGGTTGGTGTTTTCTTTTTTAGTAAGGAAACTGAATTTACTTTGAACATCTCTTCCAGCTGTGCATTACAGATAACGTCAGGAAGAGTCTCTGCTTTACAGGTAAGATGAATGTTTTCAGGCTTTTCAAATGCCTATTTTTGCATTATCTTAAAGTGATTCAATTTGTGTGTTTGTCCTTTAAAAAAATAACTTTGCATTAAAAGATATCCAGTTTCATTCCTACTCATGGGCACAACTAATGCTGTAGCAGTTGCCTGTTTTCTCTGAGCAGCAGACAGTCCAACAGCTGGCTGCACAGAGGAGCAAATAATATAAGATGCCACTATTTATTTCATGGCATGCAGTGTGTTGTTGGAAACTAAGTATGTATGCCTTCTGAAGGAGAGAGCACTTCCAAACACCATTGCTGATTTTAAAACATAAGCAGAATATTAAAAGACTCTTTGTATTTTGTACTTTTTTTTGTATTTTTGTACTTTTATTATTTCCTGACTTGAAAATACATATTTTTGACCTCTTTAACATTGGATCAGATGTTGTCAATATGGAACCAGTGTTCAAATTTGTGTGCATTTCTGAAAAGATTGCAAACTGTTCCCTAGGACATTTTGAAGAACATAAAATGAATATAAGATTTTAAAAAAATAACCAGAGATTGTCATTTGGAAGTTATTTATTGTTTTCTCAAGGTGATGTGACTGGTGAAATGAATAATATTATTTCTTAGTAATCTATGAAGAAGTACTTTTAGTGTTTGTGGAAGCTAATCCACAAGTTGAAGACTCCCAACTACAAACCGTTGGATTCTAAACATAGACTCTGAGCTGTTTAAAATCAATTTCCCCATGGAAACATTTAATCTGCTAACTTTCCTTCATATAGAAAGGCACTATACTGTTTTATTTCCTCAGCTGCCTTTTACCATTCAGAAACTTCATACTAGATATGTTTTCAATAAAACAATGTATTTTCATGGGATGAATTTTTTTTTTTCAGGATTCTTGATTGGGGTTTGGTAATGTTCTATCTGATTGTAAATGTTAATTAGGTTCAAAGTTATTGTTCACATTCCATTAAAAGTAAATAGAAGCAGATACCATTTGGAAAAGTTGAAGAGTTTTGAGATACGGTATTTATTTACCTTTCAATTTAATTTATATGAATTTAAGATATACTATTTGAAGGAAAGAAATGCCACTAAACACCACTGGAGTTACATGTATTTATCTTGTCACTGCTGGCTTCTCAGAGTTAAATCTTTTTTAAAAAATTGCTATTTCAGCTGCATGTCTTAAATTTTTAAGAAGTTGGAATATATGATGCTGTTATCCTGAACTGTCATTTTTTATTTACCTAATTAGAGGTATCCTCAAGTGTTTCAGGATCGTGCAGTTTGTTGTAGAGTTCATTGTTTGTGACTTTAAGCCTTATTATAAAGGAGATCCACTGTTTAATTATGTGATGACATTCAGTGCCCTAAAGCCTATTTTAAGACCTTGTTAGAAAGTCATTTGCTAGAAGTTTATATGAGGCATTGCTTGTTCATTTACAGCAGCTAGAAATGTGCTACAAAGCTCAGCTTTTCTTCTCCAAGGTTATGATATTAACCTCATACATAACAATTTAAAAGCAGCAGGAAATATCCTACCTTTAGAAATTCAGTATACAGTCCGACAAGTGAAATTTTAATGGGCACTCTTAACCATATGTATCTAATACTATCAAGCTTATACAAAGTGCCCTAGACAGCATAGTTAAAATGAAATTCTTTTCATAGTGAACTACCATCTTACATGGTCAGAGACTTATTTTCCTCAAGGTTTTTAAATAGATGATAAAATTGAGCCAATCATCAAAACAGGTTAAAACACAGACACAAGTATTAGATGTTACATTGTAATGTCCAGTTCAAAAATATAAATAAATAAAGGAATTGCATTATTAATGCATATGTGCATACATATATACATACATTTTTTCTAACTCTTTCTAACATTTTTGCATTCCCTACAGTATTCTCTGCTTCTGGCTAATATCATGTATTTGTCTTATATTGTAATCCTTCAGCCTTAGATTCATCAACTTTGTGT